CACCCACGCTGTCCTCCCCAAGCCCGCTCGCTGGGTCCAATGGCTGCCTTGCAAACTGTGTGATGACTTACTTTTGCCTTAAAAGGAAATGGATGGGAAGGATGACAGCTCACCTTTTCCCCATCTAGATGTGTTAAGTGTCATGTTGGATGTCTATGATACCTCTGTGTAACTCAGATCCCGCAATGGCTGTGTGGTGCAGCTATTTTTATTCCTATTTTTATAGAAAGTCAGTTGAAGTTCGGAGGACTGACTCCCTTGGATGCACTGTTAGTGGGGTCCGAGTTTGGACATGTGGGCTCCAAGGCCCCAGGACTCATCCCAGGACTCACGTACCTTCCCAAGCTCTCCCTCCCCTGCTGTGGCTGCCCATCCCCCCCCCCACCCCACCCCACCCCCGCTCCTGACAGGAGGAGCATCTCTGCACTTCCGTCCAGAGCAGCTGTGCAGAACTCAGGCTCCCTACAGGCCAGGTGGAGAGAGGTCACCTGCAGGCCAGGGTGCTGCTTGGATTGAAGCCCAGTGGTGCATGTCTTCAGTCAAATGGGACTGTTCCCAGAGCTCTCCTGAAACATTACAGGCAGGCGAAAGTGGCCAAGAGCAGCCACCTCAGAACTCCAGAAAGAATACAGGAGGGATGTCACGTAGAGGGCGGGACCCGGGGACTGCAGGAGAGCCACGGAAAGGCCCTTCGCTGGCGTGGTCCACACGTGCTTCTGAGAGATTCGGTCGTGCAGACAGGAGTGAGACGGAGAGGACCCTGGATTCTTGGGTTCAGGACAGAAGTGAGGGCTGGGTGCGCTGGAGCAGAGGCCAAGCGGTGAGAGTCCCTGGCAGGCCTGCTGCGTTGAGATCGCGGGACCGCACAGGAGAGTGCCTGCCCCAGGCCCACAGACAGAGTGTCATGCTCCAAGTTCTCGCTGAGGGAACTCCCCAGGACCCCCCAGGACCAAAAGGCAGCCCAGTCCATGCCGCCAGGTCTCCTCGTGCCCTCTCTGTCCCCGCGCTCTGCCTCTGACTTGTGCACCTGGCCCTCCCATGAGCAGAACCCGCGGGGTGGGCCTCTGCAGCTCAGGCTTCTCGGCTGTCTGTAGCATTCGCGCCTGTGGCTGCCAGCGGTGTTCGCTCATGTTCCTTGGGGGCACTGCGTGGTTGAAAGACACAACACGACCCTCAGTCCACACGCACACGTCGGGGTCGCTGTTGGTCGTGAGTTCTGCGGATGCTTGGGTGTGTGCGTGTTGGTGTGCCTGCTTCCTGCTGCCCAGCCCTGCAGAGACACCTGGGGTGGAACTGCCCAGTCCTGCGGGAGTCTGCCTGCCTGTGGTCTGCACAGCCGGGGGGGGGGGGTCTCCCAAAGCTGCAGCTCCGGTGTGCCCCAGCAGGGCTGTGGGCCAGGTGCGCCACCCGCCCGCCTGGGGCCTGCGAGTCTGTCAGTGCTGGCCATCTGCTTTGCCTCAGGACGCGGTGGAGAAGGAGCCCTGTGCTCGTCAGCAGGTCAGGCTTCCGTGAGTGATGTTTCCTGACTGTCCCTTACTGACTTGTTGGGATCTTCCCCTTTGCAGTCCTGGCTGGTCCTTGGTCAGCCCCCAGGCTCCCGGTCCCTCTCCCACGGTGGCCGTCTCTCTTTTCAGTACTATGTTTTCATCAGCAGAAGCTTTGACGTAGGACAACTGTCTGTCTTTCCCTCTGGGATTGTCCCTTCTTCTCCGAGTTCACGGGGACCTCGTTCTGGCCTATCCCTGCAACTCGACGGCTCTGCCTTTGGCTTAGCTCTCACCACCCCTTCAGGTGGGTTTCTGTGGAGGGTAGGGTTTTATTTCTGAAAACTGTCAATTCTGGTCAATCATCCAGAACAAAAGCGAGGACGAGGAAAGCCCACTGCAACGAGAAGCAGTCTGAGGCGTGGGTGTGCCCGGTTCCTTGGGCTTGACGGGGGCCCCTTCGTGGGGACAGGGAACTGCGGCCACAGGGAGGGCAGCTGGACTCTGAGAGGAAAGGAGAGAAATCACTTGAACGGTAGGTAGCAGGAGCCCTGGCATTCAAGGTCCCGGGCGAGGATTTTGGAGTTGTGAGGGGCGGCCTTGGGGCTGTCCAGGCCTGCGGTCGCCCTGCGGAGATTTAAGGTACTGTGGGTTTCAGCTGTAAATGGAAACAACACCTGTCTCCTGGGGAATGTGGAGCGGCACCTGGACTCCACCCTGTCCCGTGTCTCCAGCACCTCAACAGCGTGTCCCATGTCAGGGCTCGAGGCTGCCCCCCAGGCCTGCTCTACGTAGACAAGGCCAGCGCCCCATTCAGGGAGAAGGCAGGAGGTTGTGGGGGAACGCGGACACCGGGAAAACCCCAAACTATCCTTCCACAGTTTCAGAGCAAAGTTAGACGAGGAGGTAGAGCACCATCACCCTGAAACGTCCTTGGAAGGTCAGGGGCAGCGAAGGGCAAGCCTCTTGGCCCCAACAGTCTAGAAAGGCGTGGCGATTTCCTCGTGTGTGGCCACTGGTGAGCAGACGCTGGGCCTGGAGTCTCTGACTCATCCAAGAGGAGGTCAGTGAACCCCCAGCGTTCCTGGGAGGCTGGACCCCAGGCCCCTGCGAGGGTGGGCTCCAGCAGGATCACGCCTCCCAGCAGCCAGACGCTGTCTGCGGCCTTCCCCAGGCCAACCGGGCAGCAGAACCCCCAGGTGAGTCTCACACACGTTGACCTGGAAAGCAGCCGGCCCAGACACTGACGCCTGCTGCTCCGACGACCACGCGTTGGAGTTAGGAGTGGGAGTGGGGACAGAGAGACGGTGGGGGGGACCTCCCTTGCCAGGTCTCTGCCACGTCCTGGCGGGAGCCCGCGGGCTCTCAGCTGCGCAGCTTGGCCTTCCAGGTCTCTCGTCTTTGCCTTCTCCACAGCTCTGACAAAAATCAGTGATCACACCGACTTTCACTTTTGATTTCTACCCTTGCTCAAAGAGGGCTGTGGGGAGGAAGTGGGGGGCCAGGAGCAGGAGGGAGGCAGACCCTGCGGAAAGCACAGCAGAGCTGCCCGGGTGCCCACCCCTGCAGCCCCCAGCGCCCTCAGCCTCCTCGGCTGGTGGGTCCGCCCCTCCTGGGCCTCCCTTGAAGGGAAGCAGGCTAACCCATGGGTGCAGAGCTCCTGAAAGGTGCTCTTACCTGGTGTTTGTGCTGTGACCTCAGGGGAGTTGACCACAAGGGGCCCTTCAGAGCACGTAGTGACCAGCAAGCCTGGAAGCCGAGCTGCTTGGTGGCTGGTCCACTCTGCACATGTGAAGTCAGCTGCCTCCACCAGGGAAAGTTCATGGTGCCAGCACCGAGTGACCCCACTAAGGCAGGTTTGAGGAGTGTGTGGTGCCATCCCACGCTGACCTTCCCCTGGTGGCCAGTGGGTGAGCCTCGAATTTGTCTACTGAGTCCCTGTGATTAGGGTGAAGGCAGAAGTCGCCACCACAGGGAGGTCACTAAGAGTCGGGCCACCTGCACAGTGGCCACCCACCCAGCTCCAGGGTCCTCGCTAGGCAGCGTCTGCGGGGGGGCGACAGCTGCGTTCCTGCCCTCGGCTTCTCGTTGGCTGTATCCGGCTTGAGTGATAGCGCAAAGACCGAGACGACACTCCCAGGTCTGGGTGGCAGGCAGGCTGCGACCCCGCCAATCAGGCCAGGCCTGGAGGACAGGGCAGCGCAGCGCAGCTGACAGCTGTGAGAGGCGCCAGCCCGCTGTGGCAAGGGCTCTTCCAAGACTGGTTCATATACCAAAGGAGTGGAGCTGCTTGGAACGTAGTCTCCACCGAGTTGTCTGTCCTGCCGTCCTGTAGCTGAACCCCAGGAAAACACGCCAAAATCATACCTGACTCCTTACTCGTGTTGAGAAGCAGCATGCCTTTGAGAGAGCGACTCTGAATCAGGGTGAGCTCTCTCCTGTACACAGCTCAGACCGGGTGTGTGGACGTGGGTCTCTGAGCTGGTCACAACCTCCCATGCACGTCTGCAGCGGCTTGACGAAGATTCGTCCTGTGGGTTTCTCTTCCTGTGTTCTTTGTGCCCATGTTTGTTCATGGAGACTAGGTGTTTAGCGGCTCCAGGACATGGCCCAGAGCACAGCCAGGGCACTCGGCTTGAAAGACGTGCTCTTGGTACCTAGAAAGTGTGGCTTCCAAAATCTGGGCCCCAGCAGCACTCTGATCACAAAAATGCCTGAGGGAATGATGATGAAGGGGCAGGGGGTGGGGCGCTTCAGGCCACTTCAGCCGGGAGAGCAGGGGCCGAGGACTTGCACCGGGCCTGCAGGGCCTTCTGAGCCCACTGCCTGGAGGCCAGGGAGGACTGGAATGGACTGGTCCCGGAGGAAAAGCTTTCTCAGGCTGGCTCTCTGCACAGTGGCCACCCGCCCGGCTCCAGGGCCCTGGCTAGGCAGCGACTTACATCACTTGGTGATCTGCCCTGCTGGGAAGGCCGGTGCTTTGCATCCAGAGAGGCCCTGAGGCCCAGCTTTACAGGTGTGGCTGCTCAGGCAAACCCTGGACAGGGGCGGTGCTCCAGTACACACAGCTGCCCACTGTGCCCCTCCTATTCCAGAGAGAGCGGCCTCCTCCAGTCCTTAGCTGGATGAGCTTAGGTCCCCTGAGGGGCATGGAGAGGATTCCACGTGGTCCATCAACAGCGCTGCCGTGGCACAAATTAAACGTAATCTCATTAGAAACGCAGGCAACAGAAGCAGGAAGTGTGAGGAGAGAGTCAGAGGACCACAGGAAGCAGTGGCCTGCTGATGTCCCTCTCCCAGCCTCGTCCTGGGGGAGGACGAGCAGAGCCATAGGCTCCCGGGGTGCTGGTGGGGTGGGCAAGCAGGGCACTGCCAGCCCTGGCTCAGACATACTCATGCTAACAGCAGGTGCCATTCTCCCACCGGGGAGCTGCGTTGCTCCTTCCCACGGTGTGTTAGGGGGCGGGGAGATGGGTCCTAGGACACAAGTACACAATCGTGTGAATCCGCAGCGTGATGAGGATGGTGATTGACATTCAGCTCCGTGTGGACACTGGAGGGACGCCTTCGGCCCAGGTGCGCGGCAGGCCGGGTGTGGGCTGAGTGAATGTGGGTTGTTAGTGCAGCTACACAGACACACGGGCTTTGAAGAGAAGGCCTCAGAGGCCCTGAGGGGTGGTGCTTGACTACTAACAATGAAGGTCCCTGGGCCAGTGAACAGCGAGTGGACCAGGGAGAGAAACTGCAGTCAGCCACGAAGCCAGACAGGAACCCCAGGATCCCTGGAGGGCCTGAACCCGGGCTCTCCGATGAGCCTTCAGGTGAGACTGAGAAGACAGCCACGGCCTGTCAGCGCACACCTGGATGTGGACACACAGGGGTCCCAGAAGGCCCACCCTGCAGGGCAGAGTTGGCAGGACCTGGCCCTGCCTTGCCTGCACGGAAGTCTAGCTGGGCCATCTCTCTTGCCATGCAGAGCCCGGAGTGCTGAGCACGGCACACCACCTCATCCACAGGGTCAGGCCAAGGGCTGGGTGCCCAGGTGCAGCCAGCTGCTGTGACACAGAGCACTCCACCTGAGCACTCCACAGCTCAGCAACCCTGCCAATCAGGCCAGGCCTGATCAAGCAACTGCACCAGCCGCTAAACCCCGCAGACGCTGAGCTGCACACCGTGCAGAAAAGAACTCACCAGTGCCTGTTAAGTTCTCAAATAGTGCTGAGTTAGGAGAGCTGAGTATAGCAAAAACAAGGCTAAGAACTAGTTACTAGGGAAGACTGGTTAAGAACACATGAAAAAAATGGTCTATGGAGTCACAGGGAGCTAAAAATTACATGGTTACCCCTGTCCCCACGATGTCACATCACACTAGGGATAGGATAGATGGATGGAGCTAGACAGCATTTCCCTCAAAACTAACATTAGTCAAGTCTTAATTAAGCCCTTTGCAGTCGGGGCCTCATGTTGAAAAGGATGGGGTGTACAGAGAATTGGAAGAGTGAGAACCCGGCACAGTGTTGGCAGCCCTGGGGGACACCGACGGCCCTGGGAAGAGAGCGGGCAGTTCTGTCTCTGAGAGCCCTGCCTCCCTTTATTCAGCTCAACAGAAAAGGGTGAATTCGTCTGCTCCTTCTAGACAAAATGCAGCTCTGAGCTTTTGTTGGAGGAGGTGTCCATCCCACACGAACACAGCCACTACTGCTGACCTCACCCAGATGGCTAGGACGAGGGGTGCCCCACAGGCATTGGTAAAAGGGGGAGTCAGGGCCCTCGGGCACCGCCCATGAAGGGCAGAGTGGTGCTTGCCGGGAAAGTGATTGGCTGGTCACTGTGTGACCCAGTAGATCTACCCCTAAACACACCTAAGAAAGCGGAAAGCACGTCCACCAAAGATGTGCACATGGAGAGCCACAGGTGCCCTGCCCATCATGGCCAAAGTGGTCACCCTCATGTCCTTCAAGTGAAGAAGGACTAACAGCTGGGGGACCTCTCAGGGCAGATGCTGTGGGGCCATAAAGAGAAATGAGCCGCACGATACGGACGAGCCTGGAACCCAGGCCCAGCAGGCCACCTGTCACGCAGCTCCACTGTGTGGGATGGCCACCACAGGCAGGCCATGAAGACAGAACTTCGGCCCAAGGTGGTGGGGAGCGTGGCAGGGGGGTTAGGCTTTCTTTCCTGGGCAAAGAGATGCTCTGGGATGAGGGACGATGCCTGCTCAACTCTGCTGACCGCTGGACGCCCGTGCTGTGCAGGTGTTACAGAAGGTGAATTGCACTCCAATTTGAAGGGAAAACCTCATCAGTGAGAAGTGAGATGGCAACATTAGCAAAATAGGTATCAAGTTTTGGGAAAACGTCTTATGATCTAAACCCCTACAGCTTATAAAATATTCATGGAAAGGATGGTGCACATCACACGTCCCTGTTCTTTGAAAAGATGAAATAAAGGTGGAGAGACCAGGCCTAAGGTTAATCACCTGATCTCCCCTGCCCCATGTGCAGAACCACAGTGGCATGGCCTACCCGTCGTGACGCAGGAGGGAAGGCCACACGTGATGGCCTCAGGGCTTCGGGCCATCTGGGAGAGGTCAGTTTCCTCTGAGCCTCATGCAAGATTCAGTTTCGCCACACGCGGGAGTGGGGGAGGGGGAGTGCCAGCTCTCGGACACAGGTGAAGACAGAGAGGTCCCCAGAGCTCTGCACAGAGCTGGGGAGGCACCCGAGGTCTTGCTCTTACTGTGAAAGAACGCAGGAGCTCCCTTCCATGGCAGGTGGGGAGCACCCAGGGCAGCAGCCAAGGAAGGGAGTCATTCAGACCTCCATTTAGGTAGATCACCTGGCAGAGATGGGGGGCAGGAGCCGAGGGGCTGGGCTGGAGGCTGGGGACCCTGGCAGGGCACGTGGCTGAGGCAAGGGACCCACGGAGCTGTTAGGAGGAGCAGAGGAAAGAGGGCCGCTTACAGAGGACGTGGGCACGAGCTGGGGAAGGAGAGGAATTCAGAGTGACTCAGCTGGGTTAGGCAAGAAGATCAGGTCTGTCGTGCTGTTTGTGTCTCTAACAAACAGCATTTAAAGGTTATGTTGGATCTGAGCGTCTGCCCCAGGCATGGAAACTTAGAGGGCAGTGTTTCAAGTCAAGGGGCACGTCTGGGCTGGCCTGAGGAATCCCAGGGGTCACTGGAGCATGCCTGAATGATGGGAAAGGGTGAGCTTGCCCAGGAGACAGGCAGGAAGGCCCCGGGCAGGGGGCAGAAGCTGCGGAAGCCCACCCGGGATGCCACAGCATGGGGCTCACATGTGCTGTTCAGAAAGTCCTCATCAGTCAAATGAAGGGACAGATAATCCTCCCATTTCGTCCCAAGGAGAGCAGAGGGGAGCAGGGTGCATACGGAATCAAGTTCTCTTCCCTGGTGCCTGCATTGCAGGCAGGAGCAGGAGCCCGCTGGCTCGCCGTCGTCTGGGCATGTAACCTGGGAGTTTGCAGCTCAGAGAGGAGTTGGCCAAGGAAGTCAGAAAGAACAGAGAAGGGAGCTGAGGACTGAGTCTGGGTCCAGAAGAGGAGGCCCGTGGACATTGGAGAGAGGCGAGGCTGCCCGTCAGCTAGGGCGAGGGCAGGGGAGGGGTGCACCAGGGTCAGGGTCACCTGGTGGAGGACCAGCCCTGTGGGCAGGATGTGGCAAAGCAGGGTCACGTGTGGCCTGGCTGAGCGCTCTTCTGTGGGGCGGAGGGAGGCAGTGAGTCCAGACAGGGTCTGTGAGGACAGAGCAGCTGGGTCAGGCCCAGCAGCCACAGGAGGACTGAGGACAGAGAGCAGGTGGGGCCAGCAGAGGAAGGGGCACAGCTGGCTGGAGGCTGGGCCAGGGAGGGCGTTCCCAGGGGCTTGATGGAAGACACTCCAAGCAGAGGCTGCAGCCAGGCGTATCCCCCGCAGCTGGGAAGGCGGAGCTGGGGAAGAGCGATACACTTGGTGGAACTTAATTTTGCAGTTACGGGGGGGGTCTGAGGGGGAGAGTACTAAATAGCTTCCCAACAACCAGGAAACCAGAAGAGCTAATTTAATTCCTATCTACAAATTAATATGACATGATAGATGCTGACGTAAGTGGGACATGGTATCATTATCGAAAACTGAAGCCGTGGCTTCTGTGCAGTAGATCCAGTCTCTTGGTAAATGGGAGGAAAAACCCTGTAAAAGCTTGAATTCAGGAGGTAGTTGGCTTTTATGCATCCACTACCATTAAAGTTTTTTGTTGGAATCCATGTGAAGAAACGGCATCCCAACTGGGAGATCTCTCCAGCCAGCTGACCAGCTGACAGGGACCAGGAAGCAGGCCCGACCATGTTTACTTTAGGAATAATATCCAAATCAAACAGGCTCGCAGGGATACGTTTCCCTGCAAAGCAAATGGAAAATAAATGCTCGGATAGCTTCTTCCCAGCAACAGTATATTTTCACAAGCCATTTTTAAGTCATCACAGTTTATTTTACATAGGAGGCATCCAAAGGCTCTGTCTTGCACAGCCAGACAGAGGACAGGCCTCTCCCTGCAGGACAGTGCAGCCTGTGGTCTGCAGAGGCAGCTCCTAGCCCCACCTCCTGCAGCCCTGTAGGAAAGATAAGAAGAGACCTACCCCCCCCCCCCCGCCCCACCGCTCACACTGTTACTAGATACTGGAAAGGGGCAGACCACCGGAGTGACAGACTTCACATGGCTTGTAGGAGATATTGCCATATTAACCCAGAGCGAGTAGTGGATCTGGCTGTTCTTGCTGTCACCACTGGCGTTTTCTTTACAGTTAGTGATCAGGTTTACTTTAAATAGAAATCCAGGATCCTGCTTCTACCTTAAGAGGGGACGATGAGGCTTGAAGAGCCTGGATTTCCGTGTCCCACAGGGAAAGTAATAGTATTTGAACACAGCAGTTGCACTTGCTGTCATGAAGTGTCTGCTAATTTGGCTTCAATATTAGAGGCATTTCACTATCATGAGGTTTAAGAATGGGTTGGAAGGATCCTTGGGGGACAATACCGTGACTCTGCACCCGCAGACACTGACCAACAGGTCAGAGCCTACAACTTACTTCAGTTTTTTATTAAACAGGTTTATTTGAGTATGTGCAAAAATATTAAGAGCAAATCTCTCTGAGACTTCAAAAGCCAACCTTCTAACTTACACAAGAACTTAGATCTATTTTTACCCCTTTGCTGCAAATAATATATAGTGAATGCTGGTTTGGATGGAAAACAGCATACTTAAGAAATGGCCTTTATTTGCCCTCAGGCAAAAAGTAATTGCTTTTTTCTTTAAACAAATACTAACTTGATTATAGGCCATACCTAATTAGTTAACAAAGAGAACTTTTTAAACTTTTAAAACGAATCCAGATCCTATCTTTATATTCCAGAGCATGTTTAGTGTAAGTGAAATGGTGATTCTTAACCTCTTAATGGTCTTCCATGCCAGGTCTTTAAATGACACGGAGACATTGTTTTAAGTGGACAGCTCAGGACAGCGTCCATTTGAAACACACATGGCTAGTTGTGCCGCCGTCAGAGCCTGCCGTGGAAGCTCACTTAGGTCCTGAGTGCTCCCCCCACATTCCCCACACTGCCGCTGTCCACTCCAGGGCCAGGTTCTCGAGGCAGAAGGTACCACTGCAACTTGGAGAAGATTGGAGGGATGATCCAGCGATCCTCTTCAAATGTGCTTCAACGCAATTCATGGGCTTGACTTGATTGGTCGGGTCTTAAAGTCTATTAAGCCCTTTTGTTTACATTGACTCATTTCAGTGGTGTCCGAATACGCAAAGGCTGAGCAGGAACCCTCACCCACGTACACACTTCCCTCTCCTTCACCAGGTGAATCATGGTGAGGGCTTCTTGTTGTGCAGAAAGCAGATTCCACAGAACACGTGTGTGTGTGTGTGTGTGTGTACGTGCGCGCGCACGTGTGTGACAGTGGGGACGTGGACCTTGACGGCCATGGGTGGACAGGCAGGTGCGGATTGGCAACGTGTGGACCAGCGTGGTCTTCAGAGCCTGTGTGTTGGTTTGGCAGCCCACGTGTGGCCTCCCATCCCTGGATTCCACCGTGTGACCGCCTTTCCCACTTGGTCTGCTGACTTGACACAGAGCTGCATTTGAGGCAGAGCCTCTGAGTCTCACAAAATGTGGACAGACCCAACGTTATGGTGTGGATGAGAGGTGTCCCCCCAAAACACACATGCGAGACTGTGCAAGAGGGTTCAGAGAAAAAACGATTGAATTTTGTCGGTGGATGAATCAGTGAATTAGTCACCTGATGGGATTGAGTGGTGACTGAGGGCAGTGGGGTGTGGCTGGAGGAGTGGGCATTGGGGACGTGGCGTTGGGATACATTTGTATCTGGTGAGTGGACTGTCTCTCTGCTTCCCGATCACCCTGTGAGCCGCTTCCCTCTGCCACACGCTTCTGCCGTGATATTCTGCCTCACTCAAGCCCTGAGGATGAGTCGGCTGTCTATGGATGAGAGCCTCTAAATACACTTTTCCTCTTCTAAAACACCAGCTGAACCCGCGTAAGAGCCAGATATGTACTGGCTGATGGGCAGAGAGAAGGGCAGGTCCTGGTGGCTCCTCCTGAGGAGCCGCCCCTCTCCGCCCTTAACAGAGGCGTCCTCTGCAGGGCACTGTCACGGCTGCAGGAGACCCCAGCAACATCTGAGGAAGAGTTCTCCAGGATGGCGTGACCTGTCCTTCCCTAGAGCTCTTGAGGGCGGTTAGAGTCAACTTCGCACCTCTGTGACCGGAAGTCCTGACCGAGCCGTCAGAGGAGGGAATCCGCTTTGGCTCCTGGTTCTGAGCTTCAGTCCGTGGTCAGGCCCAGGTGAGGCAGGCACCACGGTGTGGAGGAGGACGGCAGCTCAGGACAGGGCCCCAGGAAGCAGAGGCAGTGTGCTCACCAGGCACTAGATAGAGACCCCAAAGGCGCCTTTCCAGGGACCCCTCCTCCAGCCACAGCCTTCCTGCCCACAGCTGTGGGGTCAGGGGACCAACCACTGATCATTCCACCTCTGAGAGTTCTTGCCCTGTCTCACACAGGAGCTCTTCAGGGACACCTATGCCATCACAGGAGACCTCCTCACATTAACAGGGTCACATAGCGTCTTCCGCACCAGATTCTGGTAGGGATGGGCTCTCTCCTAGAGGGACTTGAGCCACCCTATGTGAAGTCCAGGGGGGACACCTGCACGAGGAAGGAGGACAGAAGGCAAGAATGCTGGTGGCCGCGAGACGTGACTGACGGCCATGCACAAAAGCCCAGGAGGAAGTGTGGGAGGGCCTCCTCCTCCACAGGAGCCTCCTTCTGCATTTAGAATCCTCAGAGGCGGGAGGCTTCTGCAAGCCCGTCTTGCAAACCCTCCTTTTTGTTGGGAAGAGCTGTGTACAAAGTTGCTCGCTCCGTAGTGGCTGGTCTTGAAGTCCGCCTAACTCACGCCGGGCATGCCACCGAGTGCTGCAGACTGCACATTTGCACCAATGGCTCTTTGTAAACGATGGAAATTGCCGGTCTGGTAGGCCTTTTCTTTGTCCCTGGCATGACACTTAAATTGGACTTTTCCCTGCACATCTGGGAGGAGGGCTCCTCCATGTGACTGTGAATTGTGAATCGTGCACTTTTGAGAGATTCAAAATGAGAGTCTGATCTTCGACTGAAATTCTGTACCTACGAGATGCAGAGGAAAGACATGCGATTCTCTGGACGAGATCAGTCCACCTCTGTCCCCAGATCCTCTCTTGAGAGCAGACACCTTTGCTCCTCGACTTTGGAGTCTGTTTTCAGTGATCGGCTTTTAGAATGGCTTCAGTGCCACTGGTTCCATCCTGACATGTCGGATTACAAGTGTGCCAGTCCTTGCTATTTCTTCCTAAACTACTGCCATTCTCACTGGTCGGACCAGCACACGGCACTTTCTCTAGGGAGGGGACTCTCGTCCACAGCGGCAGAGGGCATGGGAGGAGTGGACCAGTCCTGGCCACCTGTCAGTCAGGTTTCGGTGAGTGACTGCTGCGCTTACCAATGAACACGGTGCACTTCCTCACCCTCGGAACTCTGTGGGCCATGAGAGGCAGCTGACCCACCGCGGGAGGTGCTGGGTGGGTCGGCTGCCAGACAGGACGGCAGCGTCCTCAGCCGATGGCATCCACCTGTTTGTGCATATCCTGAGAGCGAGTGCATTTGTACCTCATCTGTTCAGCGCCTGGCCAGCCCTCCTCTTCCACTTCCCCGGCCTACGACTGGGTTGATGTGAAGAGCAGCTGCTCCCTGCCTCCCGGGGGGCGGGCTGCTCTCTCAGATCAGGCTCCATATAACAAACTGAATTCTTGGCTGCTATGGGAGACCTGGGCGGAAGCCACTGGTGGTGTGGGAGAGGGAATGCCTGGCTCTCTGGGATCAGCACCATAGCTCGGTGCTCTCACGCCTACGCTGGCTTCGTACTGGAGTGGAGGATCAGGATGGGTTTGAATCGGCATGTCCAGCACATCAGGCTGCGTGGGAAGCGTTAGGCCGGGTTCAGCTGCTGTGTAACAACTTGCACTGTCCACAGAAAGCATCCTTTCATGGGAGCCCAGTGCTTCTGACTGTGTTCCCAAAGATGGGGTGCTGGTGCAGGCACAGACGGTGCACACAGAACCTCAGGAGCTCGGACTCCCCAGGCCTGGCCACCCTGACCCAGCAGGCAGCCACCCAGCATGTGTGCTCCACGTCTCAGCACTGTGTGTGTGTGTGTATGTGTGTGTGATCCCCTCTCCTCGTGGGAGGGCAAGACTTGAATCTGGTAAAGATGTCGGGTGCCTTTGAGTGTGACATCAGAACACGGAGCTGTCCTGCTGGAGTCTCTGCTCCTGGTGTGGAGCAAGTTCACAGCCATGATGGCTGACTCCACCTTGCAAGAGGCCCTGGTGGTCTCAGAACCCCCAGAAGCCTCCAGCCAGCAGCCTGTGGGGTCTCCAGCACCTGGTGACACAGAGACCCTGGTGGGGTCTCATCATGCTGTGCACAGAGACCCCAGACAGCAGCCTGCGGGGTCGCCAGCATCTGGTGGTGACACACACACCTCTGTGTGTGACACAGAGACCCCACCACAGCCTGCGGGGTCTCAGCGTGGTGTGCACAGAGCCTCCAGCCAGCAGCCTGTGAATCTGCACCTGGTGATAAGGAGAGTCCCTTGGGTCTACAATCACAGGGAACTGAATTCCATCCGACCCAGGGAGTTTGGAGGTGGACTCTTCCCCAGCTACGCGTTGGTGGAGACAACAGTTCTGGCCAGCACCCTGCCTGCAGCACTGTCAGGAGTCCTGGGTAGAGAATCCAGCTAAGCCTGCCTGGACTCCAGTCAGAGACCGGGCAGATAACGAATGCTTGATGCTTTAAGCCATGAGATTGGGTAAGATCGTTACACAGCAATAGTGATGAATACGCATCCTCTCGCCTCTTTGTCTTTCTTGTCCTGGAATTTTTGAAGCGTACAGGCCTACTGTTCTGTATAAAGTCCCTCACTCGGGGGTGTTTGCTGTCTCCTCATGATCAGATTCAGACTGTGTTTTGGGCAGCAATAGCAGAGTGATGTTGTGGGCTTCCCGGTGCATTCTGTGAAAGGCGGTACTTGGGTTTGTCCCAACAGTGGTATTGAATCAGTGACTTGGTTGTGGTGGCCTCCAAGAACTCAGCCCACCATAAAGCAGGCATTTCCCCGTGGTTAACTAGTAAGTGACCTGGGTTGAGATACCGCAGGACGACCTAGATATCCCATCTACCGTCAAGCCTGTTAGCTTCAGCAGCCTTGAGTGATCTAAACATTTACTAGGTGACCTTCTTCTGTGAAATCAATTCCTTTATTGTTTGCTTACTTATTTATGTCAGTGGAGTCCCAGTTCCTTATTTTAGTCAATAGTGTTCAGTTTGTTTCTATTATGTGCTTCCATATCTGCATTTTCATGTTTGTCTCTTAGGAGTCCTCTTCAACACACGTCCTCTGTCCTCATATCATCCCTAAGACCTCTTTATTTTCTAGAAAAGTAAGATTTTCTAAGCACATCTTGTTCTTGACCTTCCCCAGACCTGGACTTGTCTCTTGATGGAGAATGGTATTCAGAGCCAAATCTGGCACCAAGTGCACTCCTGGCTCCGGGGATGCCAATGCCTACCACTTCCCAGTGGGAGAGGCAGGAGGAACCACATATGTAGAGACACATTAACAAACCCCACGAGACATGGGCTCCAAGACTTCAAGGGATTTCTAGAAAAAGTTTAAAAGGTCTGAATAAATGAAGAGATACACTGTGTTCACGGATCGCAAGACGCGACGTTCTTATTCCATCAATCATTAAGCTTCTGTTTAGCTTCTCATGGGCTGAAATAAGGTTCTTGTTTGGAACAGTGGCCTCATCTGAGGCCTCTGAGCTCCCCTGGGTTGTTGGCAGACTTAGTTCCTTGTGATTCCGAGATGTAGGATTTGTTTCTGGCTAGAGCTCCTGTAGGCTGCCCGTCACTCCTAGAAATGCCTGGGTCTCCTTGTCATGGAGTGTCCCTACAGGACTCATAGTCTTTTAATTAAAATGATAAAACTGACTCCACTTCCCTTTCAACACCACACTGTGACTTCTCATCCGTGTGTAGCTCCCTTCTCCCACACTGCAATAGCGACTCATTTTTCTCCTGCCTCGAGTAGGCAGAAAGTAGTTCCAGAATGGCTAGCGCATTCCCCACAAAAAAGTAGATTCTAATACTTCATAATTTGTTGAGACAAAATTTAAGTAGTGATTTCATCTTGTAAAATTTGATGTTTGAAAAAGGCACATACAGAAATAACCCACACCAGTCTGCAGACATAGGACTCTGTCAGCCCATTCTGTGGGGCTCCCTGGAGCAGCCCAGTCTTGTCGCTTTCTTTGGGGGTCTCCCTAGAACTCTGCACCTCGTGTGTTGCTGTGTACACGGCATGTGCACGGAAGTCACCATGTATTTGAATACCTTGTGACTCTACTCCATTCAACAACTGCAACTGTGTTGAACTTTGTTTATCCATTTCCCTGTTGAGACATTTGGGAATGTTCCATTATCAAGACTAAAGACTTCAAACATTGTTATATAACTTTTTGGACACAAGTCTTCATTTCTTCTGGTAAGTATCTAGGGGTGGAATTGATAGGGGATGGGTGGGTCCACCTCAACCTTGTAAGAACCTGTAAACATGTTCCAAGTGTCTGTACTGTTTCGACTTCTTCCGGCAGTGTGGGGAGTCCTGCTGCACCCCGCCCAGTTCCAGGGGTCCGCAGGTCTTGTCTGGTCATTCTGAAGGGTGGCCTGTCTCAGGGTTGATCTCTTCACCTGCATCCCCTGAAGGCTTGGCTTCAGCACTCTGCTTAGCCGCCAGTTAGTCTCTCTGTAAAGCAGAGGCTTAAAACTTCTGCCGTTTCCCTACCAGGTCTTTGTCCTTTGGATGTGAATCGGGGGGTTCCTTGTATGTTTCGATGCCAGTCTTTGTCAGATTTGTTTGGCAAATATTTTCCTCTAATCTTTAGGTTGAATTTTTCTTTTATTGTTGGTGCCCCTCAAAGAGCAGATCTGAATGAAATCTGGATGTTCCCTGAGGACACTGGGCTTGCACGGAGGGACCAGATCCTGCCCTCCAGAGCCAGCTTGGGTGTTCAGGTTCTTGATCCTGATTACATCTGTGTGGGATTTGCCTGTCTCAGCACCACTGGTTGGAAAGGCTGCTTGTTTTCAAAATCAGTTGATTCTACCTGTTACCTACTGAGCCCTTGCTCTGCCTGTTGCTCTCCTGGGCCTGCCTCCCCCAGGCTCTGCTCGCCTCCGTGCTGTGGCTGCCAGGAAACTCAGGAAGCACCTCGGTCTCTCCCAGGAGAGTCTTGGCCACACTGTGTCTGCTGCATTTTCACATAAAAGTTCAGCATCTGACTTTCACGTTCCGTGAAAATGCCTGCTGAGCTCATGGCTGGAATCGTGCTGATCACTTTGGAACGAACGGAAATTACAATACACTGAGTCCTCCAGTTGAGATTATGATGTATCTGCCCACTTATTTAGATCTTCTTGCCTGAATTTCTCCCCGCAGTATATCTTACATATATTTGGTTCAGTTCCTCTCCAAGTATTTATTCATTTTTTAACACACACAAAAATGGCCTTACTCTCTTTCCTTGCTAGCTGTACTATGTTGCTAGGGTCACCATGGCAGGGTGTCACAGAGTGGTGGCTTAAACACCAGGATCACACCCCACAGTTTTGGAGACCAGCAGACAAGCCCACAGTGGCAGGGATGTGGTGTCCTGAGGTCTCCTCTTTGGCTTGTGCTCTACTGTCCTCGGCTTCCTCCCCACTAGTCCTCCCTCTGTCCCTCTGCTTGAGAAGTCAGGGTCTCATTGTGTGTGGATATCCTCTTCTGCAAAGGCCCAGTTAGCCTGGGTTAGGGCCTACCATGCCATCTTGTCTGGCCGTCAGCACCTTTCAGGGCCCTGCCTCCAAATACCGTCACGTTCCAAGGTCCTGGGGTTGGGACTTCAACGTGGGACTTTGGGGGGGGGCACAAAGGTCTGTAGCACTAGTGTATAGAAAGTGCATTGACTTCGCATGCTGACCACCTGTAGCCTGGTGACTCACCTCTTAAATCCTGCAGTTGCTTCACGTGTTCCTTAAAGTGTTCATCACAGACACATCTGCAGGGAAAGTCCCCTCTTCCCTCTCCAGCGTGTGTGCTCCATGTTTCTTTTTGTTTTTATGACTTACTGCCCTGGTGAGGACCCTGGCACAAAGTCACATAGAAATGGTAAGGGTGCACTGGCTGCTTCCAGTCTTACGGGAGGTTCTTTGAAGATGCTCGCTGTCAAGTTGAAAGTGTTTTTCTGCTTGCTGATGATCTCCTTTTATCACCAATGACTGCTGAATTTTATCAGGTGGGTTTTTATGCATCAACTGAGATGGCCATTGGTTTATTTTTGTTAAAGTGGTAAGTTGCCTTAAACAACCTTTGAATGTTGGGCCGATAATAAGCACCTGGGGCAAATCGCACCTGGTCATTGGAGGTCATCCTTTAAGAGCTGCTGCGAGTATTTCTGGGTTCAACGTACTAATGCCTCACTGAGGATTTCCTATCCCCATCATGAGGCAGGTGGCTCCCTCTGACCTCTGTGTCATACTCTAGTATCAGGGTTTTCTGGCTTGTTGGTAAAATATTGATATTTTATTGCTTTTACCTTAAACATTTGATTAAATTCACCTGAAGGTTTCCTTATAGACAGCATTTTAAGTAGTTAAAATCAATATGTTATTGAATTCCATTTCAGTGAAATTTCTAATTTCATCCTGAATCATTTGGGGTTAGATTTCCCCCCAAGGACTTTGTCCAATTTGTGTTGATTATTGAATTTATTGGCATAAAGTTGCTTAGTGTGCATGTCACCTGCACGGTACAGTCTGCAGCAGGAACGCAGACAGTGGGTGGTGGTAGTGAGCAGGGACTGCATAGTGGCTCTTGCCACCTCTGTTCTCTTTTTGGGAAAAGGAATTTGATTATTTGCTTCTTCCAGTTGTAGACCAAAACTATCCCCAGAAGAGGTGGTCAAACCATGTGATGTGAACCTGGCCCACTGTGTCTGTCCCCTGGAGCTGGAGTGTCCCTAACCCAATGCCAAAGGCTCAGACTGCAGTGGGCACCATGAGGTGGGGCCTGGTGGGAGGTGCTGGGCCGTGTGGGAGGGTGCCAAGGGGACCGTGGGAGTCGGCCGCCTCCTCTCTCTTCAGGAGGTGGATGGGCCACCTCTGCATGTGCTTCCACCATGATGTGCTGTGGGCCCCAGGCCCAAATGAATGGAGCCCCCAAAACGGAGCCCAGAGGAGTCGTTCCTCTTTGTAGGCTCCCTCAGGGGTTCGGGAGAGTACTGGAAAGTTGACTGACAGGTCAGAGTGGAGTCTTCCTCTCTACAGTGGGAACACAGGGTGTCGAGGGCTTTGTGAAGTCACAGCACATTTATTTGTTATAAATAGTATCAAGAAATAAATATCAATTTATTTCCTGGGAATAATTGTTATTTATTCTTCACCTCATTCCAAAACAAGGTTGGAGATGTCTAGAGCATCGTCCATCAACAAGTTAAGACAAAGGATCGGGGAAAGTGGAAGAAGAAGGAAGGCAGGCTGAGAACGAGAGGAAAGGCCAGTTCAAGACGCTCCCCAGGGCCCGTCACGGCTCCAGGAGGGACCGCTAGGGATTCTGCCTGGCTTCCTGGAGACCAGAATGGGCTGAAACGCCCTGTCCCGGTGCCCTGTGGCGTGTCTTTCAGGCAACAGGCCTTCTCAGTAACCCCATCGCCACCTCTGCCACCACTTAGCCCTCGAAGCCTGGGCATCCCCGATGGCAGAATCCATGGACGATCTCACCCTCAGCCATTCTTCAGCCCTTCCTGTTTCTGGTAATGTAGGGCTTTCAGGGTAGGGGAGGAAAGGGACATCGGAATCTTGCCATGGTCTCAGTCCATTGTGCTGTGATAAGAAAATACTATATGGTCTGGGTCACAAACGGCAGACAGTCCTGCGGGCTGGGAAGTCCAAGACAACGGCATAGCGGAGCTGCAGTCCAGTGAGGGCTGTCCTGGGCCTCTGCAGGGCCAGCGTTGCTCCTGGCATGGTGGGAGGGACGGAAGGGCAAGCTTGACCCCTGGAGCCCATTCATGGGCCGTTCATAAGGGCACAGACTTCCAGGTCTGTGCACTGAGCTTGACATTTCAACATGAACTTTGGAGAGGGATACAGATTCAAGTTGTTACACCTGTCTGTTTCACCAAAGCAGCCAACCAAAGCAATCAATTCAAGCCAAACATCCAGTCTTCAGTTTCAATTTTAAATGAACTGATGTTCAGCAAGGAGGAGGCATGGACCTCCACCAGGCTGAGCAGGGAGGGGTAAAGCCTCCTCTTCGTGAGCACTGTGGCCACTGTCCCAGTAGCTAGTTGACCACTCTCCTTCAGACGTGGGTTGTTTACTTGCACACAACTTTCAAGTTTCAGAGGAACCCAAATTACAAAAGGATAATCATTAGATGCAGGAAAATAAGCCCTTGTATGGAAGGATTGGAAGGAATTTCTCAAAGTCCCCATATTATCAATCTAATTATGTGTTTCCATGGAGTGAGTAATGTCTTACATTCTTGCCAAGGGTACTTTGAAGGGAGTTTGCTGAAAGTATGTCAGCTAAGTCGCTCTGGTGTATCACTGCTAATGGTGTCATTCACACGTTGTGCAATATACACCCCAGATTTAATTCTGCCCCAAAATTAGGTCATTGCAAAATGCCATATTAAACTGCAAATTCACAACAGGAAGATCAGGATGAGACAAAGAAAGAAACCAGTTCCCTATTTCTAAAACACACACACACACACACACACAGCACAATAGGCTACACAAAATAGGGTAAGAAGGCTGAGTTTTTCCACTGGGTATTTTTGAGGCGATGTTAATTCCAGTTAAATGAAAGTGATGGATCAGTGTAAAATTGAACTGTGGTTCCACTGCCCGCAGCACTGGTCTTTCCAGCTGACCTAACTGTGCAGAGGTGTCCTGGTTTCCTAACTTCGGCTGTCATTCCGGCTTTGTTTGCCTTTTTTTTTCCCTGAAAATCTTTTCCAGTTATGAGAAGGGTGTTTGATGCAACACTAAATGCCCTTAGTATTGTTAGCTTCAAGCAGGGCACGGTCCTGTCGGAGGCCCACAGCTACTCCACGGGCCTGTCCGGGTGGCAGCGCGCGCCTCGCTTCTCCCCACCCCGCTCCTGGAGGGCGGAGCTGCGCCCCGTGGGCTTCCTTCCAGCGCTCCTGGGAGCGCGGGTCTGTGGTGTGATAACTATATAGTCTGGGTCACAAGCGGCAGACAGTTCTGCGGGCTGGGAAGTCCAAGTAGCCCGCGCGCTGAGCAGGCTGCCGGAGCCGCAGCGTCTCACTTTCGCGTGGGCTCGCTACCTCCGCCTCTGGGCTGGGGAGGGGCGCCCCTCGGTGACCTTGCCCGCCCTGAGCAGGACCTCGCGGACACACCCGCGCGCCCCGCAGCCGGCGCACAGGCGCACCCCAGCGGCCGCCGCCTCCTGCAGCCGCTGCCTCCCGAGCCCGCAGTCGCCGCCGCTGCCCGGGAGCGGCACGCGGTGCCCGGTCCTCATCACACCCCGGGCGCGGCTGCTGTGCGGCCCCGCCCTCCACACCTGGGCCTGCGGGCCGGGGCGGGGCGCGAGGTGGCCCCGGGCGCTCCCCAGGGCCGGCGCAGCGAGGCGGGGAGGGTCGCGCGCACGCAGCTCCGGGAGGGACCCGGGCGGAAGGCAGCCCCGAGCGCCATGGACCGCGCGGGCCCGGGCCCCGGGCGGCCGGACCCCGACTGGGTGGAAGCCTGGCTGGACGACCACCGGGACTTCACCTCTTCCTACTTTGTTAGAAAGGCCACCAGGTAAGAACGATCGCAGAGACCCGCCGGGTTGGAGCGTGGCCTGCTGGTCTCTCGCCGCCGAACTTCTCCCCGCTCACCACTCCGGGACCCCTGCCCAGGCCGCTGTCCCGGGAAGTAGGTCCTCAGTCCCCTGGTGTGGCGCAGACTCGACTTGAAGCCTGCACGGTCGTAAAACTAAAGCGTGGGGTTCAATCCGACTCGCTTACAAAGTTCAAACACGAAAACGTGCTCGCGACCCCTGTCCCCGAGCCCTTGGCGTTCCCCTAAGCGAGATCATTTGTTCGCATCGCGCTCGAGGGTCTTCCTTCCGCCTCCATTCCCGGGTCCCCCTAAATCCTCTTAGCAAAATCCAAACAGCTTCTGCCCCCTTTCCCGCTCCGGAAGCGCCGCTGCCGCTCGGTCCCCGCTCCTCCCCCGCGCCCCTTGTCCTGGCCGCGGGGCGGGGAAGCGGGTGGGGACGCGCCCGGGAAGCCCGCGGCAACGACTGCCCGAGTCCTCCCGGAGTAAGTGCGTCGCCTCTGGCCCCTTCCAGTCCCCGGCTACCCCGCGCGCTTTCTTTCTCTCGCTTGCTCACCCTAGGCGGCTCGGGGGCTTGTGGAGCGCACACAGGCGGGAGGGCGGTGCCGTGGCACTGGACCCGGGGCTCTCGGCCCCGCCGAGACCCGCGCCCGCGCTGCCTGGTCCTGGGCCAAGCGCCGGGGCCCTGTGGGGCGGGGCGGGAGCCTGCGCGTTGGGAGGCGACGGCACACCGGGCAGTGGCGCGTGGGAAACGCTCGCTGAGGAGTTGGAGGAACTGAGACTGGCTCAGAGGGGCCAGAAGGGTGGAGCAGAGAGCGCGCGGCGGGCGGGAACCCCGGAGCCTGCGGAGGCGGCGCGGGGCCGGGGCACGGGAGGCTCCCGCGCGCGGACCTGGGAGTGTGCGGCCCGCGCCCCTCAGGGGGAGGCCGCGCGCGCCTCGCCCAGTGCCGGCCCGCGGGCCGGTGGCGATGCTGGAGCGGCCGCCGGCGGGCGCGTTCTCCCGAGCCGGCGCGGCCGCCGCGCTGCGGGGCGCTCCCCTGGGCGGCCCGCACAGGGCGGGGACGCGAGCCCCGAAGCGGCTGCACCTGGTCGCACCCTCCCTGGGAGCCTCCTGGAGTGTGACCCTGGGCGCCCGCGATGCTGCCCTTCGGAGACAAGACCAGGTACTTGCTGCGCTCGCCTTCCGCTCCCCGGCGCGGGTGGGGCGCCTGGGGCGCATCGCGGGAGATGCCTGGTTGGGAAGGGACAGCGTGACTTGCAGAGGTTTTGCTTGGGGTCTTAGATCCGGCCTTCTTAAATCCTGTTTTTCCAAAGAATGTTCAGAGTTAGTGTAGATTTAATATCTTTAGTTTTTCTTTTCTTTTTTTGGACAGGCCAACCCTCGCGGGGGGGGGGGCAAATCTCACCCCCTTCAAAGTGCCCACGCCCTCCTGTTTCGATCCTCTTTCCAGATTTCTCCTTCTACCTCCAGAATCCTGAATCCAGAGCGGTCAGAGCATAACCATGAGAGGAAAGTGGTTTCTCTATAAACAGCACTTCTCCGTGAGCTGGGGGTGGGGCCCTGAGCCCACCTTCATCTGGAACCATCAATTGCTGTGAGCCAGCAATTCTCAGGGGTCACCTTCTACCCCAGGGCATCTGTCCAGTGAGGTCCCCACCGGCACTGTCACACTCCCAGCTGTCGCTCTTTGAGCAGAGGGCAGTCTTGGAGAGGCCCCGGGACAGTGTGGAGCATGTGGGAGACGTTTTTTAGATAGATTATTAACAGTTCAGAGAATGAGCTAGTTTGTTGGTACATCAGCGTGGATGTCCCTGTCTTTGTTTTACTCTTGAAGTTAATGGCTTCGTGTTTTGTTATTTGTAATATACGAGGGCCCTCACAGCAGAGCCCACTAAACTTTGAAAGTGTTGCAACGTTGTTGTTACATTTCCTGCCATTGCTTTTTCTTCCAAGTGATATAGGATTAAAATCCCAGCTCTCAAAATTAGGATGCACTGTTAAGTTTAGATCACTAACACTTCAACCCCCACCCCCATTTCTATATTACAGTTGATGTTTGCAGTGGCAGAACATTGCATGGTGTGTGTGTGTGTGTGTGTGTGTGTGTTCTTAACCAAAGAGTTCATGTTGAATACACGTTGGAAAACGAAAGTGCACAGTATTTTAGAGCCCTGCAGGCCTTTAGCTTTAGCAGTTATGAAGGGCTGAAGGTTGTCGTTGTAAAGAGTATAATCTGAGGATTTTGGTGTAGGCTGAGAACTCTGGGAGATAGTATTCCCGTTTGGCTTTGTACTAAATGTCATTAGCTGCAGTCGTTTAAAATAAGAACAAGAAGTTGAATATTAATTGTTTATAAACATGCAAACTACTAAGCCCAGTTTGGTCCACACTGAGGTAAGATTTATGGTGAACATTTTCACTTCGTAGCTAAGGTTTTGTTTGTTTGTTTGTTTTTTAATTAGAAGTGCAGATCACTTTGTTAGTCTTGGTAAGTGTAAAATGAAAACTGTATGTGTGATTTGGGAAATTCATGAAGCAGAACAGTTCTTCAGAGGCATGTGGAATATTTTAAGACTTAGATTCTTTCAGATGTCCATCAGCACCCAGGCTTGCTGCAGAACTATTTCTGCATTATTTAATCATTGCCATTGACATTCACACATGCCTGTATCCTACCTGCAGACCAAATGAGCTGCCTTCAGTGGGTTCTGGCATTCCTGAGCTCTTTTCAAAACCTGTGGATTTTGGTTGTCCTTGAACACAGTCATGCTGTATAATTACATTGTTTCCTGTAATTATCTTGAAATACAGAGCTAAGCAGCTCATTAAAAGCTATAGTTTCCAGCATGGAAATAGATGTTTTTAAGTAATCATAACCTGTTGATGTGCCTTTGAGGGTGGCACTGTGAAGTGCCTGGCTGGCTCTTGCACACGGTCTGCAGTCCTGGGGCCTGGTGCTCTGCACCCGGACCTCGCACTTCCAGGTGGAGCCTTCCTGTGCTAATGCCTCCAGCAGCTGCTGTGATTCTTGACAGCCTGCGAGAATAACCTTACCTTTCCTGAGTTAGGAATCAGCCTGTGACTGCAGGTGATGTTTTAGGTCACTCGTATTGTGGGATGACATGGTTGACTTTTTATTGCTTTGCTTTGTAGCAGGCAAAAGCTGAAGAGTATTTGACATATAATGGAAATGGGAGAGATTCAGTGAGGACAGCTTTTATGACAGTGTGGGTCAAAGTCCAGAAACAGAACTTTTCCACTCCCACGCAGCTTTCTGTGGCGGATGTTTTATTTGACACTGCAAAGCTGTGCTGAATGAGTTAAGTTCAAGGTCCTCCATTTGGGATTCTTCTTATTTCTTTTTTCTTTGCCATTCTTTTCTCATTTCTAAAACCTGCAGCATTTTTATTTGGAAGGTGTTTACATTAAACTCAGATGATGGATATAAAATAAATATTGCTATCCATTCTTAAAAATGATTGTTTCTATAATTAGATAGGGATATAAACATTTTCCACAGTGTTCAGATGAATGATTTGTTACGCGTGTTCTGTTAGGCAAAGGCTCTTGTGAAAAGTTGATCTTATTTATAATATTTTACGATGGCAATTCTGGTGCAGAATGGCCTTTTCTCCCTGTGCTGTGTGTAGCAGGGTCCATAGGGCCAGCTCTATGCTGCCTTCATGGCCTCTGACCTCTCCTGAGGGTAGGATTCTTCCTGCCGAGAGGAATCCACAGGCGCCCTGGAAGTAGGCATCCCATCACCCTCTTTCTGTACTGTTTTTAAAGTTCAGATTCAGGCTCATTTTAGGGCCTGAACTGCATGATCATGATTCTTGAAACTCTGGAGATATAATGCAATAAGTGTTAATCACAGATGGGTATCTTGAAATAAGCTGATTTCCTCAGTATAGCAGACCTAAGTAGGCTTGCTGTAAAATGAATAGCTCCCTTTTCTGTTTGTGATCTGAAGATCTGTAGAAATTGCCAGTGTTTTCAGGAGGTAATTTGCACAGCACTTCAGAATCAGGAACATTTTTGCCTTTTGATTATGTTAAGCAACAAAACTTCCTTTTTGAATAATTCCACCTAAATTTGACTCTGGTTTCTAACATCATGTCTTTTAAAATATTTGAAAGTTTTTCAAATTGCGTGACAGTTGTGCCTTCACCCTGGTCTGATGATAATAAGAAGCCTCATTTCCTCTGGAGTTGAAAACATCAGTTAGCTTGGAGCTGTGCTCCACTGCCGTGCGCTCTGAGTGATTTCTTTTGTAGACGGGAAGGCTAAACAGAACTCCTTGGCACTTATTAGTTTATACTGCAGACACTCTGGGCCTAATAATTTATTAAACCTGTCATTATAACTGAGTTGCAATTGTTTTCCTCTCGGAGCTGACCGGAGGACAGGGCCTCTCCCTGGGCAGTAGCGCAGGACCGCTAAGCCAACCTAGCGAGGACGGGTGGTGGGGACTGAGCAGTGACTCTTCTCTGTGACACTAGTGCAGCTGCTCGGCTGCAGCTTCTCTGGGTGGCGTCACCTTGGTAGGCATCTCAGGTTCTCAGGGACAAGCCTGTGAGCTACATACCTGGAAATAAAATTGAAGAAAGTCTTTCCGTGTGAGTCACTCACTTGATATTTAGCTCTGCAATCTCATTTGCCCTCTTGGTGTCTCATCCTGAGCGCTTTGTCCATTTTCTTTGAATGTTAGGAATTTATATTTATTGCCAAACAAATGTTTAAGGCAGATAAACAAACTGAGTGTTGAGTTGATAAGAATCATTTTGTAAAGGGCTGGGATTGTGGCCCAGCAGTAGAGCACTCTACTAGCACGAGCGGGACCCAGGTTTGATCCTCAGCACCACATAAAAATAAAAGGCATTGTGCTGTGTCCATCTACACCTAAAAAATAAATGTTAAAAAGAGAATCATTTTGTTAAATATTCTAAAAAGGTTTTAGAGGCCTTTTAAAAAGACAAAT